CTTTCCTCTATTTCCCTTGACTTTCCTCCTGTCCCACTATCATGCTCAGTCCCCACCAGGGTTTCAGCAGTTCCTCTTTTATACATTACCCTTGTACTGTGTACTTTTCATTACATTTTGCTGTCTATATAAATATCAATATTTGGTTGCATTAACCAGCAACCCCACAATGGGTGTTGAATAATAATTTAACTAGATCTATCTAAAATGTGCATTCTAAAAGAACTAAGGACTATTTCTTTCTCATACTTTTCTCGTTTTAGCAAATCATATGTTTATGTTTACATTGGTTCTTTTTAATATTTATATTATATAATATAAGCTCAGCTAATAAAACTTGATTTCAGAATCAATTAAGTACTTCTGTTAGAAGTCTTTCAACTCAAAAAGCCCTATGCATAGGAGAGGCGAACAAAGTAGAGGGATAAGATAATGAAGGGCTTATCTTATTTTTCATTGATATTTAAAAAGGCTCTGTAAAAAAATGTCTTATTGAAATAGGGTAAAAATCTAGATGCGTTCCTGAGATTTAATACTAAAACTATCTAGTTTTCTACTTTATAGCCCAGTGTCAGGCTAATTTAATTTCCATTTCACTCAAAACAAAGAGAGAGGTAAGTTATATAGTTAGCTCATTTTGACTGAAATGATAGGTAGTTAATTCATCCACTCTTTCTTTCCTTCATTTTCTGTTGTTCCTTTTCCAGTTTGGTATCGCAGTAGAGGCAGGCCATGGTATTTTACTCGATGGGTTGGACGGGGAATGTCAATGTTGTGATGGTGATGAGGAAAGAAAACTGAGTTGTTGTCATTAGTAAAGCTCATGAACTTTGCCAACAGAAAACGTAATTGTTCTCTCTTCTGGTCTCTGGTTTGGTAGCAGCAACAGGCATCAGTGCAGACATGGCCAAGTCCAAGAACCTTGCCACACACAACAAATTGTGAACATGGCACAGTAATGGCATCAAGAAGCTCTGATCACATTGATATGAATCTCTTAAAGGGGAGAATTCCAAGTTCCCGAGGAACATGCACCTTTCCAAGAAGCACAACAAGAAAGGCCTGAAGAAAATGGAAGCCATGGATGCTTGAGCAAAAGCTATCAAAATTCTTGTAAAGCACTAGGCAGTTAAGACTAAGATCCCAATGGCTATCAACCAAAACCTATTTTACAGGCCTACATTGCCCATCCCAAGCTTGTCATGTCTGAAGCTCTGCTGGTCAAAGTAAGGCCAAACCACAAGTCAAGAACTCCACTCAAGTTCAATTTCTCAAAGGTATGCAGGCTCCTACAAAGGTTACATAATAGAGTTCTATATCTGAAGACAAGAGAGGCAACTGTGATTCCTAAGCTGCCATCTGCATGAAGCTGATGATTTCCTGCGCTATTTGTACAAATAGTCTTAAGACAGGAAAGAAGGAAAGAAAGAAAGAAAGGAAGGAAGGAAGGAAGGAAGGAAGGAAGGAAGGAAGAAAGATCAATTCAATGAGTATAACATTTAAAGGCATGATAGAACATGGTAACTTTTGAAAGAACTTCAGAGATTTCTGTGGCACTCAGGAAAAAGAATAGAGGAGTGAACCACTGAGGAGGATTTCTGAGAAAACACATCAAGGTGATCGCATTACAGAAATGAGAATTATTTTTATTCCACCAGATTTGAGCATAATAAAATATTAAGAGCATCTAGAATGAATAATGCATTTTTTAAAAGAAAATTTTGCTTCTAGTCCTGGCTTTGTTGCCATAACTAAGGGATATCAATGGAGGGTTTTTGCCTCACTCTTCTCTTTGTTCATTTGAGAAAGGGAGCGAATATTTGCCTATGTCTCCAGATCACTGGGTGTTCAAACAACAACATGAACAAAAAGGAATGGATGTCCTTCGGAGAATTGTAACATGTTCTACAATTGTTAGCTATGTGTCTAGAGTGAAACAGTGCTACAATTTTCTGGAAACCAGATTATTTAAATTCCATGCTGGAACATGTACATGAACTTCCTAAAGATGACACAAATTGAAAGTGTATTCCGACTCCAAAAGGGAAGATCACCAGGTGATATAATTTATCAATCTTCCATCAGTTGAAAAAATAACAAGGAAGCAGAATAGATCAAGGGAAGAAAAGATATTTGCGGACAAAATGGGATTATGTCAATGCCATCATCTCCTTTCCTAACTGGAGTGATTAAGTAGCTTCTCTAACCGATCAGCTTATTTACATACAAATGGGTTAAATAAAGGATAAGAATACTTCCTTTACAGATAAGTTCAATATAGGAATTAAATTACATGCCTAGTTTATAGCCAATGCTAAATAACTGTGATATTATTATCTTTGTCTGCATACTTCATTACAGATGCTCTGTTTCATTCATTTCTTGAGTGGTAGCTATCTTATTAGCCTCTATCTATCTATCTATCTATCTATCTATCTATCTATCTATCTATCTATCTATCTAGCAGGGTAATCTGTACCTACGACATCTTTAAAATCTTTATCTTCCACATGCTATTAAGACATAACACAGTGTTTGGAACATAGTCGGTCTTACATGAATGAACTTCGAAAGGTGTGGATGTTTAAACTTCCCACTCAATCTTTCATTTATGACCATTTAGCTCTTTTTTAAAGTTTGTAGTGTGTGACCGATGTGATGCTATTTTAAGAGTCAGGGAAATGGGCTGGATTTCAGAATGCTATTGGGGGAAGTCACCATTTTGTTTCATCTTTGTTATCTTCCTAATGTTGCATTATGGTTTTAAATCACACCGCACAAATTTTCATAGCAAACTCAAGAACAACATGCTGTAAGCATTAAATTAGAAAATAATGGATTCAAATAAGTCTTAAACAATGCATTGTACAAAATCCAAGGGCTTCAGCAAAATCTCAACTGTTTCTTTGACATTGTCTTTATCTCTATGAGGCATGTTTGAAAAAATACTATATTAAAGTCAGAAATTGCTACAGAATCAACCAAAATTTTGTGAAGTGCATAAGGTAGATAATCTCTGGAATTCCTGATTCTCCCCGCATTTAATTCAAGTAACCACACTGAATCTTCAAATATGTATTGATTTTTAAGTCTTTCAAATAATGTATATACATGGTCACAATTGGTAATTCTAAAATAGAAACAATTTTCATTTACCACCCCAAGGATCCTTGAAGGAAACTGAAAACAAGAACCATATTTTTGTTAAATCCAGTTTGCTAACATTTCAACATACATAACTCAATTTAACTGATCACTACAGCAAAAGCCACAGCACGTGCACACACACATACACACACATACATATAAACACACACACCAGCACCAGCAGCAGTAGCAGCAGCAGTAGCAGCAGCAGCGGCAGCAACAGCATGGAGTTAACCACACAAGTCAATAGACAATGCAGACAAACTTGAGTATAAACCAAGATTTTTCTACCTCTTTTCATAACAGGTTAGTGCTGGCCCTCAGTGTTGGTGTACAGTTTTTATGGCATGGGAAAATAGGGAGGTTTCTGCCCTATAAAAATAAATGTGTTGAAGGCTTTAGTTTGAGCTTACACATGTCAAAGAATTCCAAAAGCACCAGCACAATACACAAAAAGGAATTGCCCAAACAAATATATCACCAAAACACATGGCAAGAGACTGAGAAAATATCGACATGAAAGACTGGTTCCCAGCATTGTTTTTGCAATTGTTTTCAATTCCTTTATAAGAAACAATGAGAGACATTCTAGTGGGTCTTTGGTGGGACACATCTTGCCACTAATCATCATTCATACCAAGGTTTTTGGTTTTAAATTTCTCAAGAATCATTTCTTTATTGAAGAGCCAGAGAGCACAAGACCCTCATTCACCTTGATTTTGAAGCCTACAATGAATTAAAGGGATACAGTGAAATGCATGTACTATCTGTAAGAAGGAAAGGGGTATATAGATAAAAATAAAAATATCTAAGGAATTGGGAGCCCTGGTGGTGTAGTGGTTACACAAATGACTGTTAACTATGTGTGTAGCAATTCGAAACCACCAACTGCTCCACAGGGAAAAGATGAGGCTCTCTACTCTTGTACAAAGTTACAGTCTCAGAAACCCACAGGGACAGTCCGACCCCATCCTCTAGTGTCACCATAAGTCAGAATTGACTCACGGCAGTAAATTTTTTGGGAAGGAAACTAACTGCTATTCCTTCATATTGTGCATTGTAAGTATGCACTTCTTTCCAAGGATTAGTTGTATACATTTGTCTTTCATATGTGACATCTTTCTCTGCGCTGGAAATGGAAAGACTAGGAAGATAAAACTCTAATGCTCTAAATTTGAATGAAGGCAAGATATAAACCTCCAAGGATGCCAGGTAACTGAAAGGGTTAGCAATTTTGGCTGTTTCACTAGAATTAATTATTTGCAATTCCTCAGAAATGAAAACTTACCACATTGTGTGCAAATTTCTCAAGAGATGTTTTGCGCTCCATTGAGTATCCAGACTTACGTGTATGGGGTCGGGGTAGGGCAAAGGGAAATAAAAGAACATAAAAAAGAAAGCAAGAACAGAGCAGAAAGACAAGATGATGAAAGGATGTATCATGAAACCCATGCTCAAATCACAAGGTCCAGTGACATAAGATAAATAGGAACTCTTGTCATAAGGCATGGCTTCTGTTTTCATTAGTGCTTTCATTTTTAACACAAAAAATTCTCATGTGCAAAAAAAGTGGGACTTTAAGCAAAATAAAATTGAGTTAAATAAAGTAGTTATATGAAGCTTTTATACTGATATATGCCATGTAGGAATGTTTGAAAATACAGTGGCATTTATTTAGAATTATCTCCTAATTTTCTATCCTGGCTAAATTCCTGTGAAAATTTCCCTGTAATTCTATAGAACATCACTAGCCAATAAAGCTTTCTCAAAGGCTGGAAATGGTATTCTATATGTCTAAAGCAGAAACTTCTGCTGGTGGCTATCGAACCTGTGAAGTTTGGCTGAAATATTATGTAATTTAAATTTAAAAACCCATATGATTAGTGACTACTGTATTGGACAATGTCATATTGAGTAATTAATTCTAGTTGCAAAGGAGATGAACCTAGAAAAATCTCATTTAGCAAAAATTAATTGTAGAAAATTATAGTGTTATTTCAAAAACTAGATTTTCTGAAGTTCTTACTTTCTGAAGAAGTTATTGACACTGTTAATATTTTAAAGTTAATAATGTGTGATGTTCCTGTCTAAATCCAGATATCCACACCACGCTATATTGCTTGCAAAAGATGCTATGAACATTGAGACTGATTATAAACATTAATTAAATAAAGAGTGCTCCTGAAATTCTGCCTAAAATGAACTTATTTACCATATTAGGTAAGTAGTAGTCATCATAGGGATAATAAACAATTTAGGACAAATGACAAATTAAAGTATTCAAAAACGTACTTTATATTTGGCTACAATCATTCATAAAAAGTGGGATGATTTTTCAGTTGTGCAATCTGTTACCTAAACACTCATTTGAGCTTACTGAACAGAGAAAACCCTCCTTAACTTTTAACCTACTGACATTCTTCTTTTCTTTACTTGATTGCATCTTTGATTTCCTTAAATTAAAGAAGAGTAATGTGAAACATGAAAATAGCTACTCATAAATACTGGAAAGCATAAATATTTGCAGAAACAAATGAAAGACTAAAATAATCAATCAAAAAACCAAACAAACACCCCTCCAGAAAATGGCCCTTAACAATGCAAAGGTTTGGGGAGGGTCTTGGAATACATTCACTTACCCTTTGTCCAATACCCTGGATACCAGAGATAAGTACTCCAAATAGTTATCATTAAAAGCTAGGTCAAAAGGACAGATCCCCAATACCTTTTTCTTTGCCTGTAGAAGCTCCTGATAGGCATTGGATCTTATAAAACGTGGATACGAATCACTTTTCATAAGTTTGTAAATGTGCTCCTAAAAATAAAAATAGTTAAGATGATTTATCATGTCTCAGGATGGAAATCAGATGCTATGAGAATACTATATGTAACTGAAAAACAAATTTGGTAACAGCTAAACATACAAATGATAATGCTGAATAATACCTTATGTTTATGGAACATTTAAATCATAAAATTCATTCTTTTATTCATGAATCAGTGCTTAAATTGGCTTGAGAACTGAAAAACAAGTAAATCACACCCAGTCATTTTTAAAAAATGGGATTCGGCTAATGAGATTATATCATGAGGTCATCTCAAAGCAATGTGCTGATTTACATAGATCGGATGACAACATAACTAAATTGCTGTTGCTGTTAGTTGCTGTGGAGTCAGTTCGGACAGCATGAAACACTGTTCAGTTCAGCTCTGCCCTAACAATTTGTATATATAGTTGCCCTTTGTTCTAGCCACTGTGTCAGACCATCTTTTCTAGGGACTTTCTCTTGTTCTCCTCCCTTTTACTTTATGAAAAATAATGTTGTTTCCTAGGGACTAATGGCTCCTGAGAACATATCCAAAGGAATCGAGATGAGTCTCACTATCCTTGCTTCTAAAAGGAGCACCTGGCTGTATTTTTTTTAGGACAAATTTGTTTATTTTTTAGACATCTATGGTACTTTCAAGGTTCTTTGCCAGCACCATTATTCAAATGCATCAACTTTTCTTCAACCTTTTTTATTCAATGCCCCACTTTCAGATGCTTTGAGGCGAATGCCATGGCTTAGGTCAGGTGCAGCTGAGTCCTACCGCTAACATTCTTGCTTTCCAACACCTTGAAGTGCTGATCCCTTGACTGCTGCTTCTATGAGCACTGATTATGGATCCAAGCAAGACAAAATCCTTGACAACTTCAATCTTTTCTTCCCTTATCATAACGTTACCTATTGGTCCAGTTGTGAGGATTTTGGTATTCTTTATATTAAGTTATAATACATATTGAAAGCTGCCATCCTTGAACTTCATCAGGAAGTGCTTCAATCCTCTCCACTTTCAGCACACAAACTTGCATCTCTGCATATTGAAGTTTGCCTTCCTCCGATCCATTTTTCATAGGTTCAGTTCTTCAGATTATTTGTTTAGCACACAGATTGAAAAAGGATGGTGAGATGAAACAACCTTCATCTACACCTACCTTGATTTTAAACCATGTTCTATTCCCTTGTTCTGTTCATCTAACTGCCTCCTAATCCCTATAAGGTTCCCCTGGAACAGTTGGTCATACTACGATGGATTGTGTGTTGTTATGGTGTTGGAAGCTCTATTATTTGTATTTCAAATACCAGGAACATCGCCCAATGTCAACTAATTTTAGCAGATCTTCCAGATTAAAAACAGACTATGAAAAGGAATAGGCTGTCCACTTATGAGGAATTAGCCACTGAGAATTCATATTCCCATTCATATTCCTAGCAATGGAAAAAACTGTTGCTAGCTCTTAATATCATGCCAGCCCAAGAGAATGATGTGAAGTCAAGACCGAACAGTCATCTTGAATACTGAATGTATTCAAATACAATATTCAAGTAGAAAACAAATGTTTTGAGAATGATGATGGCAACAAATGCACAAATGTGCTCAACACAATGGATGGATGCATGGGTTGTGATAAGCGTTGTATGAGCTCCCAATAGAATGATTAAAACAAATTTTTTTAAATCACAAAAAAAACACCTGAATGTAGGTGAGACTGACCACATTACTTATATCTTTTGTGCAAAGTATGTAGAAAATTATTGTCCACGTCTATTTTGGTTTAGCAATAAATTCTGTGATGTACAATTGCCAAAGTTCTCAATTCTGTGTGCTTTTTACCCCCTTTGTATTTGTGACAGACTAGTTAAATATTTACTATTTTCTTCTTCAGATCAGACTGCATTGTTCTATTTTAATTACTAATAATGGCATACAAAGAAGTAAGGGTTAAAATAATACACTCATAATCCAGTCTGGGTCCAATCTGAAGACATTCTCTTATGGCCTATTATTACCCAACCAAATCCACTGTCATTAACTTGATTCTCTCTCACAAAAATCCTGTAAGACAGGAGAGGATTTCTATAGGGTCCCCAAGGCTACAAATATTTACACAAGCAGACAGCCATCTATTTTTCCCAAGAAGCAGCTAGTAAGTTCCAATGGAACTCAGCCAGTGCTTAGTGAACTGGGACACCAAACAGTCTCTTTTTCAGCTCTGAGAAGCTTATTTGGCTCCTTAGTTTTCCTAGTCCAGTGAAATACCCCTTTTCAACTATATGAAATGATAGTGGATGTTCTGTTCTCTTTTTGTTTGCAGAAAGTACCTGTTTTCAAGTTATCGAACAAAGCAGCAATAATTTAGAGTTACTCTAAATCTGCATGAAGACATGCAGGGTTACGTCTCAAAATAGAGTCAAACTTTGATTTCCAATATTACAGTAAATTTGTAACTCTTTTAGAATATATTTTCTGGAAATTTCAGCAATGAATTGCTTTAGAATAAATATGTTTAATCTAGCGCCTATGAGTATATTATTTAAGATCTTCTATTTATAATTTAGATGAATGTAGATAATCAATAATAAATTTAGATCCATTTACTCATGTCCTTGAACTTAATTTTCTAATCTATATGTTTGCTGTGAGGATTTAAGGAATGGTAAAAATCTAGTGGAGTATGTAGTGTGCATAGTCGGGGCTCACATATATTTGAGTATATGCCAAGCATTCATCTAAGTACTAGTCTGTAGTTATAGTAGATAATTTAATTCTCCTAAAACTCTATTGAAGTAGGTAACTGTTATTATATCTATTTAAAATATGTAGAGACTAAGGAATGGAGAACTTATAAGATGTCACACAGTAGGGTCTGGATAGGACTCAAGCAATTTGGATAAAATATCTAGTTTGCTAATATTACATCTCATCTAAAAATATTACAGAAATTTATGCTACTATATCTAACATAGGGAAAACTTTCATCAACATTAGGAGCTAAATAACTAAGCTTATCTAAACAAACAGATAAAATAACTAGAGGGTCTGGTGATATCTTTTGTACAAAAATGCACATTTTATATACTTGAGAATACCAATAAGTAAGGATATTTTTTAATGACAGGAAAAACAAAGAAATATTCTTTTTAAGACTTCTGGGGGGTCATTCTAAAGATTTTGCATATTTTTGGCTCTAGAAAAATGCTTCCAATTTTATTTTTAACTGGAAAAAATATATAAATCAACAGAGAAGTAAGGAACAGGGCTATAAATTTTGTTTTGTGCCCATCCCCATGCAATTATTTCCATGTGGGAAGCCAGGATAGAAACACAGGGAAGCCTGGCTTAGCTGTTTAAACCAGTGTTTGTGCGTCTTTTCTTAAAAGAGGAATTGATTTCTTTTTAGTAAAAATATGGAATAACATTTACATGTTTCATTCTTTGCAGTGTAAAAGTTAGGTAATGCTGCTATTAAAAATAAGGATTTTCTAAAGTTGATTGTCTTTTCTAAAAGAAATTCACCAAATTATGAACTATGTATGCTGTGGTTTAAAAACCAATTTCAACACATCATGAGGAAATAATATCCCTTAATTACATATTTGTTATTCTCCTGAGCCACATTTTTTTAAACAGAAGTCAGAAATTCAAATAATTTAGGAGACCATTAGAGTTAGTTAAAGAAAAGAACACAAAAACATTGCTATGAGATGTTAAAATATCCTTTTGTTTTTCATGTTGTATATTAACTTTGGACATGAATAAATTCCCAAATCAATATTTCATTTTATGACAAGAGACAAAACTAGCTTGAGTTTCACATAACTTTAAACTTAGCTCTTATAAGTCATAATAACTAATATTTATGAAAAAAAGAACTTTGAATTTCAGAATCTCCATGTTAGAAGACATTACATGTAAGGTTAACATGTGTACCAACCTGAGCATCTTCAAATGTATATCGCCCAGGTTCCTTCACAGTCTGTGTGGTTTTGTCGTAACTCTTAGAATCCAGGTTAATGGCACTGGGGGCTCCCGGAGCCAGAAACTCTTGCCATATTTCCTGCACACGGCAGGGGACTTCTCTAATAGGCCTTTTCTTCAAGTCCTCCACTGCTAGCCAGAATCTGTGCAAAACGTGATATCAAGTATTTACTTGACAGGAGAACCAGTTAAAAATTCTTGTAATATTTGCCCATCCAACCTACAATTCACAATAATACATAATAAAAAAAGCTTTGTTATTTGTTGTTGTTAATGTGCTCATAGGTGTAATATTCTTTAGAACCACCCATCCACTGCCATCTATTAATTCCAACTAATTTCCATTTACATAAGTAGCGAGCTTAATCTTTGCAGTTAGCAGTCCAATGCTTACCCAAGAGAACCAACAGGTCACCTTAAAATCCTTCATAAGGGAATTTAAATACAAATTTACATTCTGCTGAGGATTCATACCAGTTACAGAGGGGTCTTGGGAAAGTTATTATAGACAGAATGACATGACATGACACACCAGCGACTTTCTCAAAGTGTTGAGACACTAGTAATACCTTTCTACTATGTGACACCTGCAGCATTTTAAGTCTTTTACCTACATCCACTCATGCAATCCCTCCAACAGCTGTCAAATGTGGTTGCTATCATTGCCACCATTAGAGAAGAAAAAGTAAAGAAATATGGTTTGTGTGGCTTGTTAGGATTGTTTCATTTTAGTGTCTTACCTAGAGCTTGTCCCCAGATAATCTTCAGAGAATGACTAACGGGTCTACACTCTGCTTTGCACTGCAACCTTAGTAGCATCAGTGCCTTCAGTATCCTCATCATTACCTCCGGCATTTGAATAACAGGATGGAAAGTGTATCAGTAAAAATGCCACATCTTTCATTTGAATTTTCTCAGGAGTACAATGTGCAAAGAATGCCTATTTTGTTGAGTTTCCATAGATTAAATAAAATTAATCATATAAAAGGCACTGTGAAGTACCTGACATATTTATAACTCACTGCAATAGAGTTAATTCCAAAAATTAAGGACTCTATAGAACAGATAGAACTGCCCCTGTGTATTTATGTGACTGTAACTTTTGGGGGAGCAGAAAGCTATCTTTGTACCATGGAGTGGCTAGTGGTTTTGAACGACTGACCTAGTGGTTAACAAGTCAACATGTAACCCACTATGCCACCAGAGGATCTTGATAGGCACTCAATAATACATTTGATTGTCTGAGTATATATGTACACACACATTTAGCGCATCTTTAGAATCCTAGTGGTGTAGTGAAGCTACATCTTGGGCTGGCAACATGATCAGCAGTGCAACCCGCCAGTTACTGTCTGATCCCTTAACATTTACAGCCTTGCAAATACTATGAGTCAGAATCCATCTGAAGGGGGTGTTTTGGTTTGTTTCATTTTTATATATTAGGTAATGAATGGGCAAGAGTGGACCCCCATGCAACACCAATGGAAGCACCCAGGAAGTCAAATGACATATCGCATTGGACAAATCTGTTGCAAAAGACCTCTTTAAAATGTCAAAAAATGTCAACTTGAGGACTCGTGCGCCCTTGACCCAAGCCATGGTATTTTCAATTATCTCAAGTATATACAAAATAGTACAATGATCAAAGAAGACCAGAGAAGAATTGGTGAACGATGATGATATGAGCAAAGACTATCGACTCTACCATAGACTTCCAGAAGACCAGACAAGTCTGTGGTAAAAGAAGTACTGCCAGAATCCTCCTTAAAAGGAAGGACAGTGAGTTTCTGCCTCACCTAATTTGTGCATTATCAAGAGGGACCAGTCCCTAGAGAAGGACAAAATATTTGGTAAAATAAAAATTCAGCAAAAAGAAGTAGAGCCTCAATGATACGGACTGACACTGGTTAAAATAATGTGCTCAAACATGGCAGCAATTGTGAAGGTGGTACCGGATGTGAAGTATTTCATTCTACAAGATTTTTGCTGTGAGTCAGAACTGACTTGACATTAAAAAACAACAAATAAATAAGGTCCTTTGACTGAAAAAGGAATGAACAAAACAAAAACAGTACAGGGTGTTTTTGAGAAACAACTAGTTGTCACTAAGCAGTGTTCCTTGATTGTCCTTCTGTCATAATACTAGAAAATGTCCATATGAAAATGTCCACTCCCAACAATAAGAGGAATTTAAAGGACTACAGCTCAGAAAAAAATTATTTAAGTGCAATGGGGATCCCTGCTGGACAACTTGACAATTTTTTCTTTTTGAGTTTGACACCAGACACCAAGGAGAAAGCAGTTTGCTTCAGATTTGGGAGTATTAGGAATAGCTTGTTCCTGGCTAATTGAAAGCCTAGAATGGCACTTACTGGAAAATTCACCTCAAACAAGTTGCCTAATCAACTCCAGTCAGCTCTTCTCATTATGAAAGGATGAGGGGGGATATGAGCAACTGATATTAGGGGCTAGAGCGGGAGGCAAATGTTTTGAGAATGATGAGGGCAACAAATGTCCATATGTGCTTGACACAATGGATGCATGTATGGATTGTGATGAGAATTGTACGAGCCCCCAATAAAATAGTTTTAAAAAAAGGATCTAGATGTATGATAATTGGGAATAATGAAGGCAAAAAGAAGTCTTGAATGCACTTAGAAGTAGTGGATATAAAGTATATTATGTCATAAAGTAGGAGTGCAGAAATACTATATCAATCCATCCATCTATTTTCTACCTTTCTGTATTGCCTTAGCATAAAGACATTTGATAAATATATAGTAGACAAATCATATATTTAAAATATGGCACAGGAAAGTGCTCAGCAACTAGCTGAAAAATCAGTGGTTCAAAATCAACAGCTGCTCCACAGAAAAAGATGGGGTGTGTGTGTGTGTGTGTGTGTGTGTGTGTATACACACACACACACACACACAGAGATATATATATACACATACATATATATATGTTTATATCTAAATACAACAAGGAAGTAAATGGACTTTGAGCTTCTATTTAAGTCTTATTATTTGTTCTAATAATGTGGCAATGTATGATAATCACCTTCCCAATACGATCACTGAAGACAAAATGAGTGTATAAGCAAACAAGGTGAAGGAAGCTGATGTCGCCTGGCTATTAAAAGATACAGCATCTGTGGTCTTAAAGGCTTTAAGTTAAACAAGCAGCCATCTAGAAGGGAAGCAACAAAGCCCACATGGAAGAAGCACACCAGCCTGTGTGATCATGAGGTGTTGATGGGAATAGGAAAAAGAATTTCAAAAACAAGCAATCAAATTGATATGAAGGAGCACAGGCAAAGTGGAAAGTCCAAACCCACCTGTAAGATAATTAAACAGTCTCTCACAGAAGGGTCACATGGAAGGGATGATATATCCAGGGTGCAGGAGAGCACTGATGAAACACATAACTATCTTCTAGTTCTCTAAAATTTCCTCCCCTTACTATTATGGTCTTAGTTTTACCTCATCTTTCCTCTTTTTCTTTTTTATTTCTTTCCTCCTGTCCCACTATCATGTTTACCCATCGTTCACCTTTCAGTAATTCCTCTCAGATACATTTCAATTGATCAAATGCAACCAGCAACGCTACCCTTACTCACCATCAATTTCAGACCCCTGTCTGTCCCCTGTCCCTGTCAATATTGGCTCAGAGCTCCCTTCCCTCCACCTCCTCTCCCACACCCTTTCCCGCCCCACCCCACCCCCAGAACACTTGGTCCCATTGCCATCTCCATGGATTTGCTTATCCTGACTATCTTATATAGATAAACACCAAAAGTGAAAAAAAAAAGACCCTACAAATAGTTCCAAGTTTAACTCTTGCCTTGACCCAGAGTAGATGAGCATCCCTCTATTAAAGAGTGAGCAGGCCCTGATGTAATCCATCAGTCCATTCCTCTTTTCTTTCAGTCCATTCCTGTATCCCAGGACCTAGCAGCACTTAAAGCTTTTAGTCCCTAGCATTCTTGTCTGAGGAGCAGACCGCTAAGAAACCCCATTGCTCTTCCTGCAGTCAATGATAAGGAGTGGTCTAGTGCCCCACCCCCAACCCGTTACACCTATAGACTTTCAGTATGGCCCCCTTGTGAATAGCTACCAACTGGTTGAGAAGAGGTGCCAAGTACTCCCCTGTCTATCCTTCACCCCCCCTTCAATCCAGCTTCCTCAGGGACTTGTGTCTTTGCTCTCATTGTTGGTCTGTTGCATTCCTCTCATGGTTTGTCCCCATGTGGGTGCGTCAGAGTGAATGCACTCCCTGAACTTTATCTTCAGGGTTGTCCTCTGTAGCCGTCATCTAGGGAGGGGGCCTCATGTTTCCAGCTAGGGTAGCCTGCAGTCCTCTCTGTGAAGGAGCTGCTCAGAGCAGGAATGTACCGCTCAAGACTTGGCACATCTGAATGAGGTCTACTCTCTCTCTCTCTCTCCCTTTCCTTGGAGACATAAACAATACCCTCCCCTTGGGTGGATTTGTGTCCTGTTACCCCATTACCATCATTTTTCTTCCCCCACCCCTCTGTGGGCCATCAAAGCATACAGGGGGGCCAGGAGGTGGGGGTGGGGATAGGGGGGATGTCTTTCCACCCAGTTGCTATTGGCATCGTCTTAATTTTTTCTTCTTCCTTCTTCTTCTTCTTTTAAATGACATATTAGTCTGAACATTGCCAGAGTGTCTGGTCCTCAGTCCAGGAACTGTGTGATATGTACATTTTCCCCTGTGCCCATTCTGCTGTTTGAATTTACCTCAGTGGGCTCATTTTTCACTTGTCCTTTTGTACTTGGCTACTTTGCTCAGCATAATATCCTCCAATTCTTTCCACCAGACAAGCCCCTCATCATTTCATCACTGTTTTTAAAGGATGTGTATATACCATTGTGTGTATATGCCAGAATTTTTTAATCCATTTGTCTATTGATGAAAATTTAGACTGTTTCCAGTTCTTTGCAATTGTGAACTGCACAGCAATGAACGTTGGAGTGCAGATGTCTGGTCATGGCCTGTTTCTTATTTCTCCTGGGTATATGCCCAGGAGTGGAATTGTTGGGTAATTCGATTTCCATCTGTTTTAGGCATCACTAGATCACTTTTCATAGTGGTTATATGTGTCTACAAGACCATTAGCAGTCCATGACAGTTCCTATCTCCACACCTCCTCCAACATTTGTTGCTTTCTGTTTTTTTGAATTGGGTATCCATTTGCGTGTTAGGTGGTATCTCATAGTTGTTTGGATTTGCATTTCCCAGATGGCTAATGATCAGGAGCATTTTCTCATGTTTATTGGCCATTTGGGTTTCCTCCTTTGTGAATCTTCTGTTCATTCTTCTGTATATACACACAATGGTATATACACATCCTTTAAAAACAGTGATGAAATGATGAGGGACTTTGTCTGGTGGAAAGAATTGGAGGATATTATGCTGAGCGAAGTAGCCAAGTACAAAAGGACAAGTGCAAAATGAGCCCACTGAGGTAAGTTCAGTTTCGGCCACCTTCAATTTTTTCCTTATTGTAAGGTTGCAGGGTTCTGTAGAGTTTAGTAATAAGACCTTTGTCTTATATGTCATTACTAAATATCTTTTTGAGGAGTGCTTTGCCAATTCTGAGTTTCTTCCCTTTCCATATAATGTTGGTAGTCAGTTTTCCCATTCATTGAAACATTATGTTTGTATTTGTATTGGTATTAAATTTAACTGACATAGTGCCTTAGGATTTACATCTTTACAATATTGAGTCTACTGATACACAACCATGGGATATTTTTCCATTTGTGAAGGTCCCTTTTGGTTTCTTGTAATAATGTCCTGTAGTTTTCCTTGTACAGATCTTTTGCGTTTATGGCTAGGTAGAGCCCTAGATATTTCAATTTATGCTTGGCTGTTATAAAGGGTACTATTTTCTTGATCTCTTTTTCTGTAGTCCCATCTAACTCCATAAATATTATTGGCTACTCTTTACTCTGTGAAGTATTTGTCTAAATATTGTATTTATGTATAGGGTCCAGATTTATATAGTGAGAACAAACTGTCAAAATTAACCATTGCACATAATAATTAATGTTGGATAAAATTTGTGTTGGGCACATTTTATTCCTCTGTCACATGGGAGAAATTTAATAGGATCATTTGTTCATGGCAATGTTATGAGAGAGCTTAGGTTAAGTCGGATCTTCACACAGAAGGTATACACAATCTGTCTTACCTTAAGTTTTCAGAGCTGAATTCTGACTCCAGAAATTTAAGAAACTGTTCTCTCCCAACTGGATCTTTTAAAGCTTCATCCATACCAAAACCCCACCGTTTTACTCTCTGCTGACTTGGTTCTTTGCTATAGGAGACAAAACAAAGCCAAATATAGTCTTCTCATTACAACTCCTATTTTATGTTATTAAATTTAACTTCAAAGTCATATATGCTATGAAAGTCCTAAGTTTAATTTAATTAAAAAATTATCCTAATGATTTCTGCATGAAAGATCTCATTTTTCCACTAATGTTATGAGATGTGTGTCTTTCTCATTTCCATTTCATTAAGAAGGAAACTGACACAAAAGGAGTGTTACACATTGCCAGTGTGTCAGGCTATTACTAACAGACAATTTATCAACTGTTATACCATCCAGTCTTGTGGTGGTATGCTTTATGGAGTTCGGCGAAAGACACACTAGGGACCAAGAGGCTCTGCTATCAATTAAATGCATGACCTAATCCTGACTTAGTCACTAAAGTATGCCGTTCTAGCTTCCTCAACTATATACTTTATAAAGTATGAGTGAAACACTGGCTGGAGCAGAAGAAACCACAATCACCAGTTGCCATTTAGTCAATTCTGATTCCTGGTAATCCCATGAGTGTTAGAGTAGAACTATGTTCCATAGGGTTTGAAATCTGATTGTTCAGAAATGGATCTAAAAGACTTCTTTCAGAAGAAGTCACTCTTCTGAAGCATCATTGATGAACTCGCACCACGAATCTTTTAGTTAGTAGTAAAGAATATTAATGATTTACATAATCTAGGAACTCCTTATAAATAATTGTGGCCCATAAATGCAATCTATAGAAGTTCAATATAGAACTAAATACACATTTTGTAAAGAGACTTTTACAACTCTGTCAAAGTTTACAGCATAATTCATGAAAGCAGTGGGCACTTCTAACTTACATTTTAGTTATCTCAAGAGGTCAGCCTTTTATCAGTTTCTCTTAGAGCATTTATGATAAATTCATTTTGTTTTAAAATTTAATTTTTGAAAAACTTGAATTGGACCTAAGTAGATATAGATTCAACATTAATTTTGAAAGAAAGCATGGGATTTTGCCTATGTGAATTTTCAAGGAAGCAATGAGCTGAATTTCAATTTAAAAGCAATGAGCTGAATTTCAAGAACTGAAGATTCCCAACTTTAACTCGTCCATCGTGAAAACCATTGCAACTCTGATTTTATTTCAGTCTTTCTAGCATGACAAATTTCAATGCCAATGTCTAAAGAACAACAATCATTATCTTAACAAATTTATATTATGGACCAATGCGCACAAGTGTAAAATTACATGTTCCAATTAATTAACTATAGGGTTCTTCCTCAATCACCCAGGCCATGAAAGGGAGTGCTATGTTAAGAAAGAGAAAAAAATGCCCATACCTTGCGTCAAGTTCCCAGAAAGTAGTATCATCGGATAGCCATGGGTTTGCAGGGTCAGGTGGCACAAGAAATGGGTCATATTCTAAATACTGTTCCGTGTAACTCAGTAGACTAGGGAGAAGGGAGGGGGGGAAAGTTTTTTTAGTTCTCTGACTGAGGTCAAACTCCGTACAAAGTAAGAGAAATGAGATTAAAATATCTGGCAAAGAATCCTGTTCACTTAAAACATGAAATTCAATGGTAGTTTTTACACCCCAGCAACTTATATGCATCAACATGTGTACGTTGGCAAACCTATGCAGTTAGGCATCCCATCTCTTTTGATATTTAGGCTATATGAGTCAATACTCCTCAATTAGAATGGAGCAAAATAGAAGAAGTCAGTTTAAGGGAAGTGCTGAGTCAGCTCCAATCCTAGCTAGCCCAGTGTACCCATAACTGAATTGATTGTAACTAATGTGTGGAAAGAAGGGGAAAATGTCTGACAAAGGAATTTACAGGGGAATCACTGAAAAAAACAAACAAAAAAACCATAAAACTTCCTTTTAAAAAGTCTGTATTAAAAAGAAGTAACAAAAAAAGAAGAATTGAAAAGGGAAAGAAGACATTGCAAAGGAAAGATTTGACAATCAGTTCCCAAAGGTGAAGAATATAATGACATTATGAACTGATTTAAAGGAAAAAAAGAAAATAATCCTCAATTATTAAATCAAATTCTAAAATCAAGCAATCACTGAATGGTGTATGGTGTATGTTCAAAAGAATTTACAGAGAGGACCCAAATTGCTGGAAAGTAACCAGTAAATTGAATTTATCATTTCTTCCAACTGGAGTAAAAATATTTATCTCCCTGGAAATATACTCCATATGATTCAGGTGTCTTAAATGCCCTTTAGTTATTACTCTAGGATGATTAGGACATTTAATTTCTAACAAAAGAGTGATTTGAAAGGTTTCTATGGAGGTGGGGGGCAGGAGGGGGAGAGACATTCTTCCAGGGATCTGATTATTTGTCTCTGCTCCTCCCCCGTTTCTCTTATCATTTTCAACTTATATTACTATTATTTGAAAATAAATGTTTATGTATCTTGAAATACTTACCTATCAGCAACTTTTGACATTTTTAACCGATGTCTATCTAATTGTATTTGCCAATATTTTATCTGAAAAAAAGACTATAGATATAGTTACACAAATAATGATGTTTTCACACCTTTCTTCTCTAAATTCTAACAGAAGTGGGTAATTTTTAATACAGATGTGTTCTAAGTCATAATTTTTAAAAAGGGTTTAGAAAATATTAACAAAAAATTTAAATCAGATTGAATGAGAGATGACTAATATCACTTTACAATGGCAACATTTTTTTTGGTTTTATTTCTTGCTTCAGGGAATTGTATATTTATACTATTTCAGCAAAATTATATTTAAAGTTTTATGAAAATTTAAAAACATTTTATTTCAAATACAGAATCACATTTTCTCTCAATATTTAATTCAGAAAATAAATTCCTTTTCATTTATTAGTATAATTTAAAAATAAAGTCTACTACCTAATAGTATTTTAAAAAAACATCAATGAAGTGTGTTGTAAGAATAATTAATTCTATCAATAATTCATGATAAATCGTCACATGAACATAATCACACTAGAAAAAACTTTGATTAAAAAGTGCTTGGAACTACTTTACTTTCATGGTTTTGTAAATATACTAACAAAATCTATTTATGTTGTTTATACATAATATTTTAATGAAATTATAGAAATAGAATCAAACAAAAATAAAGTTCCATGATTCATCTAAAAAAGAGACTTAATGATTAAATTATATAAAACCCTGAATTTTATTGTGAGATAAAAATTTGAATCCAAACTATTAACTAATGGTTGGAAGAAGAAGCAACATGTATCATGATTGTATATCAGTACCAGTAATGGAGATATTTTATGAGGTTTATAGAAGTCAGAACTTGCTAAGAATATGCTCTGGGGAAATCATGTCATATCATTGGATGGAGGGAATGCATGACTCTATGTCTCAGACCATTTGTCCTCTCCTCTTTCATCCAGAATCCAGGAATACAAATCAGCGAAAGAGATTGAGATTCCTATAAATCAGTGTTTTTTTAAATTTAATTCGAGATAAAGGATTTGAAAGTTGAAGATCAAAAAGCTTTGAAAATCACTACCGTATGTTCATACATGTTCAGATAACTAGACAATTTGAAACAAGACAATTTCATTCCTTATTAATTAAAATATTCTACAGGATACAGTAAATCACGTTTAAAAAAAACAACTTTCAAATATACGTAATTAACATTCATTATCTGACCTTCACAGGAGTCATTTTTATTCCCAAGTCATTTTAAAAGTTGACCTACCTGTTGGTGTAACTCATCTTCTGTAGGAGGCTTAGTTTCTGGTGTGGGTGTGTGGGTAGGGCTGTGACTTCTAACATCATTTTGTAAACCATAGACAGACTATATTGAAATTAAAAGAGGTATGTCAGTATAAAATTCTATTTACAAATTCACAGACTTCCTCTGTTATATCTTCAGAATGTGTGAACATTACATAATTTTATGTCAACTTCAAGATATGTAAAAGTGTAGGGGTGGTATCCAAGCTGTCAGTCAGGTCACAGCCTGATGATACCTCTCTGTGGGCACGGTTTTCTCATAATGAGGCCTGCGGAACCTCCCCCCTCCCCTCTACCTTGACTTTACTGCTTGCTGGACACCCTGAAAGGTGCCAAAGTCCTGCCATATTTCCATAAAATTCAGCTCCATGAGACTTTGCATGCACTAGCCTGTAATCTTCCTGCATTTTGTAGTCTTGCAAGTGGCTGTGTGAGTTTGAAGAGGGACTTATGCACTAGTATTGGATTTAGGGGCTTGAGTTAGACTGGGTTGGGATTTTTTTGCCTGATATTTAGTTAAGACTTGATATAATTACGACTTGATATATGAGTGTCATTGGATTTGCTTCCCTAGTCAACTGGCCTAACACAGTAACTCAAAACTTTGCTGTACATTTGATTAAGCTTCTAATAAAGATTTAAAAGGCACTCTTTAATACGACTGTCTGATTTTGATGAAGACATACTGAGTATGATAATAAAATTTGTGGGTGTGTTAGGTTGTGTGATGTGAACACTAAGTAATACTTATGAAATATTTAATAAAAAATAAATAAAGGGGAATGGACTATCATAGAAATATAATATAACCAAGGAGATTAAAAGATAATATGATCTTTACATAGAAAAGGAATGGAATACTGAAAAAGAAACTAGGGTAAGGATTCTAATTATTGTTTGGTTTCTGATGTTGGAGTGAAAGACATTCCAAAGTACTCCACAAAGTAATGAGCCTTAGCATTGGTAGCCATTGGTAAATATCAGTTAACCTAGAAGCTATACATAGTCTTGGAATTCATGATGCCACAGGGCTTCTGTACTGACTTTACAAAAGGTCAAACTCATTATTTGAGAAGACAGTTTTTGGTTTTTTGTTTACTCAGAAAGACCCATTGCTTACAAGTGAAAAATAAATATCTGAGAACATTAGGGGATCTTAAAAATTCATCCTTAATTCAAAATGTGAGATATCACATTGGTGACTTCTTAGATAAAACTTGATGAGTTATTTTTAAAATATATGAAGTGTTATTACTTTAAAATGCATAATTTACCATGCATTAGTGAGTACTTTAAAGAGCTCTGATGAACACAATAAGAGAAACCTTAGGCTACTTATAACAGGTCACTGGTTTAAAACCACCAACAGCGATGTGGGACAATGACAAGGCTCTCTGCTCCTGTGAAGATTTAGTCTTGGAAACACTACATAGGGTCACTATGAATTGGAATAGGCCAGATGGTAATAACTTAGATTTATCCTTCATGAGCCTAGAAGCAACAATTATCAACAAAATCCTAGTCAGCCTAACCAAACAACATATTTTTAAAAAATATTGCATAATGACTACATCGAATTTGTACCAGGTATGACAGGAGAACTTGCAGTAGAAAAGTAATTAACATAAGTCACGACATAAATAAATCCATTTAATAAAATCCAACACCCATCCTTGATAAAAATGTCCAACAGCAACAAGAACAACAACAAAAGAATAAAATAGGGAAACTCCTCAATACAATGAAGAGCATTTAAACAAAACCAATGCTCAATATTATTCTCAGAGAATTTGCATCACTCCTACGCACTCTTGTATTGGAAGCCCTAGCCAGAGCAATAAGGCAAAAACAAAACAAAAGACATTTAAAATGGCAAAGAAGTAGCAAAGCTATATTTATTTGCAGATGATATGATCCTTTGCATAAAAACCATACTGATCTCAGTTTGTCATGCTGTGATGCCCTGTGTGTTGCTGTGCAATCAGAAGCTATTAATAATTGTTACTTGGAATGTAAGAAGTATCAATCTAGGAAAATTAGAAGTCGCAATGAAATGGAATGGATGAAGATTGATATTCTAGACATTAGTGAACTAAAACAGAATGGTGTTGGCCATTTTAAACCAGAAAATCATATAGCTTACTATGCCAAGAATAACAAATTCTGGAAAAATACTGTCACATTCATCTTTAAGATTTATCTCGAAGTGTAATCTAATTTGCTGTGATAGGATAATATCTATCAGCATACAAAGAAATTCAGTCATTACAACAGAAATAAATATTATCCACATTTATGGACTAATCACTAAAGCTAGTTGTAAAGAAATTGAACAATTCTGCAATCTTCAGTATGAAATCAATCCAGCATTCAGTCCATTGACAATTATTGACAATGAGAATTCAAAAACTGTACACAAAGAAAAATAGTTGGACAATATGGCCTTGATGATAGAAATGAAGAAGGTGGTTGCATGACAGACTTTTGCAAGAGCAATGATCACAAATACCTTTTTTGAACAGCACAAAACAGAAAAATTGCTCCAGATGGAATACACAGAAATCAAACTGACAAAATCTGTGGGAAGAGGCCATGGAGAAGCTCAATACCAAGCAGTTAATCCGAGGCTAAGGGCTGACTATGGAAAAGAATATCAATTCCTCATATGTAATATCAGGTTAAAGCTGAAGAAGAATTAAAACAAGTCAATGAGAGCCAAAGTACAACCTGGAGTATATCTCATCTGAATCTTGATAGCATCTCAAGAAAAGAGTTCTAAAGCTCTAAAGACAGAAGACCTGCTGGGATGAAATCAAGAACATCATTCATGAAGAAAGAAACAAGTCATTAAAAAGGCAAAAGAGAGAGAAAAGGTCAGAGTGGATGTTAGTAGAGACTCTAAAGCTTGCTCTTAATCCTAGAGTAGCTAAGACGAATATAATAAATGATCGAGTAAAGGAGCTGAACAGACATTTGGATAGGGCTGCTTGAGAAGACAAAGGCAAATATGGTAATAAAATATGCAAAGACCTAGAGTTAGAAAACTGAAAGAAAGAAAAAAAAAAGAATATGCTCAGTATATCTTAACTGAATAAACTGAAGAAAAAAAATTAAGACACAAGATGCAATATTGAAATATTCTATGGCCAAAATATTGAACCATGCAGGAAGCATCAAAAGAAGATAGAAAGAATACAGAGTGACTGTATCAAAATGAGGTAGGAGCTATTTCACCATTTCAGAAGGTAATACATGAATAAGGTCAATGGTACTGAAGGAAGAAGTCCAAGCTGAACTGAAGGCATTATCTAAAAACAAGGCTCCAGGAATTGATGGAATACATGTTGAAATACTTTAATAAGCTGATGAAACACTAAGCATCTGCTTGTTTATCTCAAGAAAGTTGGGATAGATAGCTGCCTGGCCAACTGAGTGGAAGAGATCCATATATGTACTCGTTCCAAAGAAACGACCCAACAGTATGCTCCATTATAGAACAATATCATTAATAGCCCATGCAAGTAAAATTTTGCTGAAGATCATTTAACAGTGTATCAAGGGCTCATGAGGGAGGGGGAGCAGGGAGGGAGGGGAAAAAATGAGGACCTGATGCCAGGGGCTTAAGTGGAGAGCAAATGTTTTGATAATGATGAGGGCAATGAATGTACAAATGTGCTTTACACAATTGATGTATGTATGGATTGTGATAAGATTTGTTTGAGCCCCTAATAAAAATATTAAATAAAAAAATAAAAAGAAAGAAAGAAAGAGCTGCCAGAGGTTCTGGCCAGATACCACAAGGATATGGGAAAAGGAACATCACCGCCGATTTTGGATGGATCTTACTCAAATCAAAGAACACCAGAGTTACATTTACTTGTGTCTTATTGACTATTCAAAGCCATTCACCTGTGTGTATCATAAAAGACTACGATAACATTGAGGAGAATAGGAATTTCTGAAAATTGTGCTCATGCAGAAACTGTACATAGATCAAGAGGCAATTCTGTAAAAAAAAAAAAAAGATGGAATATTGCATAGTTTACAATTGGGAAAAGTGTGGATAAGGATTGTATCCTCTCACCAGACTTATTCAATTTGTATGCTGAGTAAATTATCAGAGAAACTGAATTATATGAAGAATAAGCCATCAGCATTGGATGAATACTTATTAATCTGAGTTAGGCAGACAACAGAACCTTTCTTGCTGAAAATGAAGAGGACTTAAAATACTTGCTGATGATGATCAAGGGTTGCAAACCTCAGTAAAGGACTGTAAACCTCAATGTAAAGAAAGTCAAAATCCTCACAACTGGAGATTTTGTAACATGATAAACAGAGAAAAGATTGAAGCTGCCAAGGATTTCATCTTGCTCGGATCCATAATCAATGTTCATGGAAACAGTAGTCAAGAGATCAAATGATGAATTCTTTGGATAAATATGATACACAAGAACTTTTAGAGTGTTGAAAAGCATGTATGTTACTTTGAAGACTAAGGTATGGCCGATCCAAGCTATGGTATTAAAAATGTCCCTTGACAAGCAAGATGGAAACAGTTCAAATATATAGGTTCAAAGATAAGAACAATTGAGAAGACAGCACATGACTGGACAGTATTTCAATCTGTTGTTCATGGGGTCACTATGAGTTGGTATCCACTTGATAGGATCTAATAACAACAATATCTACATATGAACATTTGACATTAAATAATGAAGACTGAAGAAGAAACAATGCATTTAATATGGTGCTGTTGAAAAACATTGAATGTGTTATGGACATTTGTCTTAGAAAAAGTACAGCCATGATCAAGGGTAATGTAACAAAGAAGAATTGCTGAAACCCTGGTGGGGACTAAGAATGATAGTGGGACAGGAGGAAAGTCAAGGGAAACAGAGGAAAGTGTTGGGAGGCAAAGGGCATTTATAGAGGTCTAGATAAAGACATGTACATA